AAATCATGTAATAATTAATTAAAGAATCAATAGAAAAAGAGAAATGTGCTTGATAGTTAAATCTGTAAAAAAATATGAGGAAAAACACTAATGGTTTGTTTGGTAACATGAATTTGAAATAGTGTATTTGAATTTGAAAGGTTAAAATTCAATATCACTATCTGTTTTTACCTAAACAGAAAGTAATTGGATTTAGGAAATAAATGCATTTCAGCAAGGTAATTCCAAAGAATAAAACTTGTGTACTTCAATTTCACCCTCAAACCCATAAATTTCAATTTTGAAATGAATTTCCTTTGCACTCTCTCCTATCACCGACAGTGATGAGGCCTTCATTGTCTATCCATCATTGACTCTGCTATTGCTCTCTCACCTTCTCGTCGTCAGCCACTCAAACCTCTCCTTGATAGCAAGTTCTTGATTGCACGTATCTACTCGACTTTTCATCATCTCTCAATAGCAGGTCCAACATGTTAAGATTATACTATTTCAATAAACTCTTATTGAAAAAAATAAAAACAATATATTCTTAAAGTAAGAATAAAAATATTTTAGTTTGGTTGAAACAATATAGTTTTGAGATATTTTTCCCTTTAATTTTTTGGAGTTTATGTTGATAAAAACTAATGTTATAAAAAAAATGCTTGACTATTTATTTTAGAAACAGAAATTTAACTTAAATTGACTTAATACAAAAAATACTAAAATGACTATAAATTTAAAGTTGTTTAAACGAAGAATCAAAGTTTTTTTTTGAGACTTAATAGATGAGAAAATATTTAAAAACCACAATTCTTAATCAATAAATTGACATAAAGTTCATTTCATTCTGAATCATATCCTTATTTTAAAATTTTTTTTATTTAGATCCTAAATATTTTCTCTACATTTAAAATGATCTTTGAAATTCATACTATAAAAACAATTTTTAACAAATAAAAATTAAAGTAGGATGTTAAATATTTTTCAAAAGTTCAGGGGGCCGGCGCCGGCCACCCCCCGTCCTTCATGGGCTCTGTCCCCATTTCTAAGTATTGTTGTCTTTTTGTCGAAAAAATGTATTCCCAAAAACTTTTCCGTTCAATTAACCAAAGCGAGACATGCACGTACAGAGTAATATATTGCCAACAATTTCAAAATATGAGTTGCCATTACCAAACGGGGCGAAGGATTTTTGTATAAAGCCTCTAAGAACAATAATTGATACTTATTTTAATTTAACATATTATATATATATTTATTAAAAAATTATTATTTTTAAATTTAAATTTAAAACAAAAAATTTTTTAAAAATATATTTTAATAACTAAATCGATAGATATTAATAAATGTATTCAATCATAAAATGTACAGATTGTTTTCCAGCTTCTAATTGCCCACTGATTTCGTTCCCGTGCAAGAAAGTGGTTTTTTGAAGCCTATATATATGCCATGCTCTTGTGGTGCCTTCATATGTGTACTCACACCCTTTTAACAAACGAGAGTAAGAGCGAGATACTAGTTAGGGAAAAGAAGAAATGGCCTTGATTTCTACTGGAAACACTTGGGTTCTCATTTTTGGCATCCTAGGCAACATTTTTTCGTTCCTGGTTTTTATGGCTCCAATGTAAGTAATTAATGTGAATTTGTTTTGAGTAATATTTTGATAATATATTAAGATTTATATATATGTGCCAATTAACTTCTTGCCATATTAATTTTTAGACCGACCTTCTATCGGATTTGGAAGAAGAAATCAACAGAGGGGTTTCAATCACTTCCATATTTGGTTGCACTCTTCAGTGCCATGCTTTGGATCTACTATGCATTACTCAAATCTGATGCTTTCCTTCTCATCACTATCAATTCCTTTGGTTGCTTGATCGAAACCTTTTACATTGCCTTCTACATCACTTATGCCTCAAAGAAGGCTAGGGTTAGTAATTTACATGCTTTTTTTCTCAGTCTAATTTGCAAAAACTAATTCAAATCTCACATAATCACATTAATTTCTCTAAATGCAGATGTCTACCTTGAAGCTATTTCTTTTATTAAATTTCATGGGATTCTCCGCAATTCTTCTTTTCTCTCACTTCTTAGCTAAAGGATCGACTCGTATTCAAATTCTAGGATGGATTTGTATGACATTTTCCCTCAGTGTGTTTGTGGCACCTTTAAGCATTATGGTGAGAAATGCAAATACATATTTAATAGTTTTTTTTTTTTTGATAATTACATTTTTAATAGTTAGAATAATAGTTAATCATACTTAATTTTAGTATTCCCTATATATAAAACAAAACTAAAGTATTGTTAACAAGTACATCTATTTATATAGATTTTTAATTAAAAAAAATTATATATATGATGTGGACTAATTAATCGTTAATTAATGTGCAGAGATTGGTCATTCGTACCAAAAGTGTGGAGTTCATGCCTTTTAATTTATCTCTTTTCCTCACTATAAGCGCAATCGCATGGCTTTTTTATGGCATATTCCTCAAGGACTTGAATGTTGCAGTAAGTGGTTTGACCCTTCTCTTGCTGACAAAATGCTATATAGTACGTATCATAATTAGATGAAGAATTTGTTTTGAATGCAGATTCCCAATATTCTTGGATTCATATTTGGGTTTCTTCAGATGGTGCTCTATGGAATATACAAGAATAAGTCCAAGTCGGTGATGGTAAATGGGGCTCAATTACCCCAACAACACAGCATCGATATGACTAAACTCAGCACCATCACATCGACTTCAGAGGCACAACCCAACACTGAGTGCAAGGAAGAGAATGTGGATCAAAGTGGGAGAATCAAGGAGTCTTTAGGCTCCAACCCAATAATAGCTTGTGAAGTTTAAAAGACAAGATTTCAAGCTTTTACTAAAGTTGATGGATCGACAATTGTACCAGCCTGCTGGGTCGATCCCCTACCTCTTTACAAGATTAGTGTCATGTGTTATATGTGCACGCCTGTTACCGGCTGCAATATGCCTTATGTATTTCTGTTTCCTGTTTCATTTCCTGGTTTTTAATTTAATTCTGTTGTACTAGTGTTTCCAAGAATTCGGCCTAAACACAAGTTGGCTAGGCAAAATAACAATTCTGGAATATAGTTTAATTTCAATTTCATTCATCAAATGACTTCAACCTATGTTAATTTGTTTTTTTTTTTTATCAGCAAAAATAATTTATTATATAGGTACAAGGGGTACCTCAAACTCATTAAATCTGCTAATTATAGAATCATCCAAAAACATATTTGCAATTACATAATACAAACATCAACTAAATCCTATCTAATTGTCATAGCACAGTCAAAAGGATTACTTTCCCATTCATAAAGTGTGGAAATAAAACCCTTAGCCTTTCTTTTTAGCCACAAGAAAGATCTGACTTGAATATTCGCAAAGGCATCTTCCACTGAGATCTCTTGAGCTCTGAAAATGATATTATTTCGTGCATTCCATAGAGACCATGCTATGGTTAAAAACAGATATGACTAGACATTCCTTGTTCTTGCGTTGCTCATTCCCAACACTATTTGGTTATAAGCCTCTTGTATTGAATTTGGTAGCATGCCATAGAATCCCCACCACTTTAGGCATTTCATCCACACATGGTGTGCGAACTTGCATCTAATAATAATGTGTGCCAAGTCCTTTGCCTCTTCATTACATCTTACGCAAATGATGTTTCCATCGCTCACATGAATACCTCTTCGTTCCAAGTTCATTTTAGTTGGTAACCTGTCCAAAAATAGTCTCCATGCAAAAAAACAAACCCTTCCAGGCAAAAATTTATTCCATATTGCTTTGCATAAGACATTGTCCATCACTCTTTGATTGTCAATTAGCATTGAGATAGCCTTCCTCACATAATAGTTTCCACTTTTATCATGTTTCCAAATTCTTCTAATTCCTACTCCCTTCCTTATTGTTACTCCTTCTAATTGTGCTAATAATGATATCTCCTCCTCTCTAGCCCCCCCTACTAACTCCTTCCTCCAATCTGTCTTTCATCTCCAAACCCCCTCACACCACTCCCTCATCTCTCCAACTTTTATATCAACATTCGTTGCCACATTTTTTAATCTTGGAAAATCCATCCCAAGATTTCTCCCTTCCAACCAGACATCTTTCCAAAACTTAACTCTATTACCATCACCTACCTCCCAAGTAAAGCTATTCCCCACAATCCCCATCATCTCACTACCTTCCTTTCCTAAGGATACAATATCTTCCCATATTTTTGATACCCTTCTCCTCCCAATTTCTCCTACGCCCACTTCTCCCCCTGCACCATAATGTTTTCCTAATAGAACTTTCTTCCACAATCCTTCCGAGCCATCCACAAACCTAGCCCACCACTTTCCAAGCAGTGCTAAGTTGCATTTCCTTAAATCCCTAACCCCTAAACCTCCCTTCTCTTTTGCTAAACATACCCAATCCCATCTCACCCAACAAATCTTCCTTTCCCCTTCCCCAGACATACCCCATAAAAAGTCTCTTTGAATTTTTTCAATAATTTTCAGCACACAAGTAGGAATTTTAAACAAAGATAAATAATACAAAGGGAGAGAAGAAAGTACTGATTTAAGGAGAACCAAACGACCACCAAAAGACAGGGATTGAGCTTTCCAGCTAGCAAGCTTTTTATAGAAATTTTCTATCACTGGTAGCCACATCCTTCTCCTCGAGTTTTCCCCAACTGGCATTTCCAAGTAAAGAAATGGAATTTCACCCATTTTGCATTTTAAAAAGTTAGCTGCCCTTGATAACCAGTTGTCCCCTGGATTGAATGCATAAGGACTACTTTTCTTGAGATTAACTTTCAACCCCGATATCAATTCGAACCACCTTAAAATACCTTTCACTGTCCGAATGTGGTCCATTCTAGCCTTGCCCATGATCACAGTGTCACTCGCGAACTGAAGGTGTGAGATATGAAGGTTTCTCGAGCCCACATTAATACCTTCGAATAAGCCTTCAACCACTGCCTTTTGAATCATACAGTGCAGGCCTTGAGCAACTAAGAGAAATAGGAATGGAGATAGAGGATCCCCTTGTCTTAGATCCCTCTCCATCCTAAACTCCTCTGTTGGGCTTCCGTTTACCAAAATAGAAACATGTGCTAAAGATAGACATTCTGCCATCCATCCCCTCCATTTCTCCCCAAATCCAAACTTCACCATCATGTAGTTCAAAAAATTCCAATTTACACAATCATAAGCTTTCTCAAAATCCACTTTCAAAATAAAGTTGTCTGACTTCCTCCTTTTAATTTCATCCACAATTTCATTAAGCACCAAGATTCCATCCACTATCTACCTTCTTCCCACAAATGCTTACTGGTTCTCACTAATGATATTGTCTATAACCCCTTTTAACCTATTAGCAAGGAGTTTTGCCACAATTTTGTGCAAACTTCCAATGAGGCTAATAGGCTTAAAGTCTTTTAAATCTATCGGGTTTTCCGTTTTTGGAATCAACACAATGAAGCTTGAGTTTAGTCCCCTTACCAATCTTCTATTTGTGTGGTAGTCCTTCACAAACTGCATTATATCTCCCTCCAACATATGCCATGCAAACTTAATAAACTTGAAGTTGAATCCATCAGGTCCTGGAGCCTTATCACTATTGCATGTTAATTTGTTATAATTAAATTGATTTTAGTTCATATGTATTTTAAATATTTTAATAACTATATGTTTAAATGTCAACTTATAATATTATATGCAATTACTCATTTAATATCATATTAAATTAGAAATAAACTTGTGTGTGTTAAAGTTTGTGTCTACCCTTTTTCCTTTTTTGTTTCCTTATTTTTTGAATAAGATTTATTAGTGCAAGATATTGACATAGTATGATGTAAGAAGATGCAAAAAATCAAAATGTCCTGCCGAGGGGCAGAGCTAAAATATTAGGTGAGGAGAGGCAACAATTTTTATTGAGGATTTGAGTTTTAAATATTTTTTATAATATTAGTTAATCTTTTTCATAAAATAAATTTTTAATTTTGATTTTTTTCATTAAATTTCTTAGAATTTTAACAAAACTAAGAAATTAATGGCTTTTGATTGTCCCATATTTTAAGTATTTTTTATTAAATGAATAATTTTATTAAAATAAGAGACTATGCCTCACACGATAATACTTAAATAACGGATCAATTAATTTAAATAATTTTAAAATATTACTTTTTTATTTCTAAATATCTATTTTTTTACTGACTTATTTATTAAAATTTAAAATTTTCCATCTCAAAGAATTAAATAACATAAAAGAGGGAACTTGTAATTAGGGACAGAGTTACCACAGGAAAAGGGGGTCCGCTGCCTCCCCAAGCTTTTGAAAAATATTTAATATAGTACATCAACTTTTAATTAGTACAAAATTTTTGCTTTTGATGTTTGAATTACAAGAACCATTTTGAATTTAAAAAAAATATTTAGGAGCTAGGTAGAGGGACGATTTCTTTCTTTGTAATTAATTCTTAAGACAAATAATTTTATTGGATATGAAAAATGATTTTATATTAGTTTTAATTGTTTATATAATTTATATTCTACTAATTTAACAATTACATTTGATATTCTAATTTAAAGTTCATTAATGTCTATTACCATATAAAAAAAGAAACTATATTTTTTATAAAATTAGTATTTAGTCACTAGACTTGATAAAAAAAAGGGGTGAAAAAGACTTTGAAATTAGGATATTCTAATAAAGTATCATGAAAAAAAAAATACTAATATAGTTTTCATTCTTACCCCAAAAATATACTAATTTAATCTATTTATTTTAATTAGAGTTTATTTAAATAACATAGTTTTGAAATATATTTTTCATAATTTTTTTCGATCTAATGTATTAACATTTTTTTATTATTTTATATTATTTCTTAAAGATATTGAATTGTATGTTATTAAAAAAATTAAATATATTTAATTAATTAAAGTTTGGCATATATGTTATAAGTAGTACATTTATGCATAAAATTAGTAATAAATATAAAATTTAGTATAATTTTTTTTATACATAACAATTATGGATCAAACTATTGATAAATGACTAAAATATATATAATTCTACTAACAAACTACATAATTGATAGTTAAAAAATAATATAAGTTATATTAATATAAACTTATCATAACTCAAAAATTTTTAGATTTTGTTCCCTTACCTAAAAGTCTAGATAGCTTTCTACTTGCAATTTAGTTCTTAAAAACTAAAATCATTGACTAAATAGAGACTCAAGCATCTGCGTATTTGAAACTATAATCATAATAAAAATATTATAAGATGTATTAGTTTTAAATTGTTAAGTATGAAAGATTATAAAGAGTTAA